TTTGGGGTTTTGGGGTTCAGGGTTGTATTGTTGAGTTTTGGACGGTTTAGGGTTCAGGATTTCATTTTGGATTTTAGGATGGTTCAGGGTTCAGGGTTTTGTTTTAGAGTTCAGGGTGGCTTATAGGGTTCCGGGTCTTATTTAAGAGTTTAGGATGGTTCATAGGGTTCAGGTTCCTATTGTTTAAGAGTTTAGGGTGGTTCAGGGCTTTGAGACTTCTGGGGCCTCATAGGCATTTCAGTTCACGGGTGCCCTTCATATGGGCATGTACCGGTTTAGGGTTTAGGGTCCTTAATTCAAGGAGCCCAGAAGCTTTCCTGCCGCAAGGATTATTCCTGGTCGGGCTGCGTCGTGGAGCCATTTTTGAGCTTTGGGATTAAGGCATGCCTGATGAAAGGATGGCTGTGGCTACGGGTTTGGCATTGTTTCTTCGGTCATGAGTCATAATATCTGATCCCGGTTCGCGTTTCGTCGACTCCCCCTCCCCCCCCTTAATGGTATCCGCCCCGCCCCCCTCACCCCGGTCCCAAATCCCTGAACTCAAGAAAGTTTATGCCACGACGAAGCGAAGAGCATCCGTAGAGAGAACACGAGCGCAACCCTAAACTCCTAATATCGGGGCCTACATAATTACCTNNGGGGTTCCTCATTATAATTATAGTTTAACATACCCCCGAACCCTATTCTAATTATTAAGGCCCCTGCGTTAAACGGCCTGAGACATCTCGAGAGGAAGCCATGTAATCTGCTTCCCTCAGGGTCCTTATGTAGAGTCTGCATTATAGAAGCCTACAGAATTACCAACCCTATTTTGGGGGCCCCTTATTCTAGTAATTCCAGTATAAGATACCCCAAAAGCCTATTCTATTTACTAAGGCCCTTACATCAGGCCCATGTGGACATTTAGGGCATTAAACCCTAAATCCTAAACGCAAAACCCTAAACCCTAAACCCAAGAGCCCAGGTACTTGAGCGTTTGCAGCCTGATCTTCTGCTACCTCTCAGAGGGTGAGTGGACCTTCAGCGATGGCGTCGATTTGCCTGCATGTTGTTGTGACTCAAACTACCCAGGGGCTCCAATGTAGTTCCTTTGTAGGTCTGTTATGGTTTTTTGGTCAGGAATTATAGCATGTTGTTCCCTAAGGGTCCAAGTACCCCTTATTTAAGGACTTTGGGGCCTTTTTGGGTACCTAAAACCATAAATAAGGACTACTTGGACCCTTAGGGGTTGTGACTCAAAGTAGTTCATAAACCCTTAACCCCAAAAGCCTAAGCCCGATAGGACCCAAACCCCAAAGCCCTAAACCCTAAACCCCTCAGCCGGGTGTGTTTGCGTGCGTGAAGGCGTAGGAGTGTCTGCCGGAACTGTTTTTTTCCAATGGTCCTGTCTTATAAACCCTAAACCCGAAACCTTAAATCCTAAATCGTGTTCTGGGGCTCCGGCTTAGATCTACTTCTGCCTCGTGACCCTCACGACCGTCGGGTTTGGTGACCTGGTACCCTGCGTCGCGTTGAGATGCCGGCTCACTGGTATGGTCCCTCGGCGATCCAAGAGCTTCGGTCTTACGGTTTAGGGATGTTTAGGGGTTTTTAGGATTTAGGGGTTTAGGGGTTTAGGGTTTAGGGTTTTAGGGCTTAGGGCTTTAGGGAATTAATATAATATAGGGACTCAAATAGTTACCCATACTATTTTGAGGGTTCCTTTGTATACTTATAGTATATTTGGGCCCCAAAACCCTATTCTAATTATTAAGGCCCCTACAGTAGGGTTCAGGGGTTGAGGGTATAGGGTATTAGGGTTCAGGGGGTTTCTATACCTGGACCCTACACAACCGAGCTTTTCAGGGTTCCTCCTTATGATTTCCTTCTACGAATGCCTAAACCCTAAACCCTATAAGCCCTAAGCCCTATAACCCTATAATAAACCGTAAAGCCCAAACCCCTAAACACTGAGGGTCCAAGTACTTTTTTGGTCAATCTGTAGAGGTTCGGAGTCGGGTTCGTGGGAGTATAGAATTTGTGCCAAGTGGTGTAGGGATGTTAAGGGTTTTGGGGCATTTTGCTGTCTAGGCTTCAGATTGTTCAGGGCTTATCGTTGAGGGTTGAGGAATTGTAGTTGTATGGTCTAGGGTTTAGGACTAGTGTCCCGAACTCATGATAGTGACGGGAGCTGCTTGCCACTGTAAGGCAACCTTAGCAATCCATCTATCTATCCCTAATCCCTAATCCCTAATCCCTAAACCCTAAACCCTAAACCCTAAACCCTAAACCCTACCTCCATAGTCCTCTATCTGTCTATCTAGAGTCGTGGTTCCTTATCATGGTCTCCGAATCGTCCGAGCGCACCCTATTTCGAGTCTGCCTGCAAGACCCGGGAGTCTTAGTACGTGCGGCTCGGACGAAGGAAACCTGATGCTCAAATTCTGCAAGGTCCTCAACTTCGTTCCCCAGTTAAGGGCTTACACCCTAAACTGTGCCGCCGCCTGGGGCCTGAGCAGGTTTTCATTTGGACCAACGTGCTGTTAGTCAGCGCCCTGCATGGCACCTGAGTTGCAATCATTAGGTTTCGGGTTTAGGGTTGCCCCTGTTGTATGTTTTGAGGGTTTCGGGTTTATAAGGTCTAACGATGGTACTTCTGGCTGGAACTATCCGAGCAGCTCACAGCCCGAACAGCCATAAACCTTAGGTCCTTTTGTCCTCGCCAGTGCGACAAGGAGCCCCCAAAACCCTCCACCCTAAACCCTACAAAACATGTCTAAGCCCAAGACTGACGTACTTGGCCCTGCAAGTTATAAAGCTGAAATCATCTTAACCCCCAAGCCCGAAGTAAGCACGAAGTGCCTGTACAGTATATACTTAGCTACAAAGGAACCCCTGCAAGGCCTAAGTATGTGTATATGTATATATATATATATGTACACACACACACTCTCTCTCTCTCTCTCTCTATATATATATATATATATATAGGTACCCGTAGGGCCTCTTCTCAGGCATTGTGGGTGCCAGAGTAGAGCGGGAGATCTCACGCGTCGGCCGACGGCTGGGTCTGTCGCAACTGGCGGTCCATCTGCTGGCCTTGAGTTTCTTCGTCGGTGCGCCTCGGACCACATTTGGGCTTTGGGGGTTTAGGGTATAGGGACAATACCCATAGGCCCCATAGTAGTTCCTTTTTGTGGCTTATATTTGGGATCCTATTGGGGAATCCCAAAAAGGAACTACCATGGGGCCTATAGGTAGGGGTTTAGGCAGGAGTTTGTGGGTTTAGGGGTTTAGGGTTTGGCGGTTTGGGGTCTAGGGATTAGAGGTTTCGGGCTTAGCGCTTCAATCTGCTCGGGCTTTCATCAACTCTGGACTCTGGATGCAGTGTCCACCCGAAGTATTGAGCTTAGTTATCAGAGATGTGCTTGGCACCTGGATCCTATAGCCCGTTGTGCTGTTCCGAGGATCCATAAATCACACTGCAGCTTTCCTTCTGGAAGTATCGTAGGTTCCAAAGCCATTGTGAAGACTGTCTTCGGGGTTCTAGTTCCAAAGCGTAGTATGTACAATGAACCTCTGGGCTACCCGTGGCTGCCGCCCGAAGCTCGAAGCCAATGCCCAGGTGCTTGCAGCGGGATACAGCAACTACGAGGACAAATCCCTGCTGGACGGCATCTATTTTTCTGCCTCGACTTTGAGTACGGCAGCAAGTCTGAATTAAGTACGTAATTTAGCGGATAGGCCGGGTCATCCTAAACCCCTAACCCCAAACCCTAAACCCTAAACCCACGACCCCTAAACCCTAAACCCCTAAACCCTAAACCCACGACCCCTTCATACAGGAGTGCAGGGCCTGATTTTACTTCAGGTAGCCAAACAAGACCATGCCACAGAGCCTGTGCTTCTAACACGGGAGTTGAGAGGCAACAATCCCGAAGGGTCCACGTACCCAAATAGTATATGCTTTGACCCCAAAGTACCCATATAGGGACGACTTTAGGGCCAAAGTCTATACTATTTGGGTACATGGATCCTTAGGGAATAAAGTTGAGGGTTTCGGAACTGATATGGAACCCTGTGTCGATCTAAAATGTGACGATCCTCAGTCCTTATCAGAAGCACGCGCAAGAAGGAGCAGCCGCAAAGCCCGAAGGCACAGACCCCAAGAATATCAACGCGCATCGCTCTAAGCCCTAAACCTTATTAGCACCAGACTCCAAACTCAACCCTAAACCCTGTAAGCCCCGCGCCCTAACCTGAACCCTGCACCTTCTAATCCCAAAGCCTTAAACTACACCCTTAACCCTATAGAAGCCTTAAGCCCTAAATTAAACTCTATAGACCCTATCTCTGAGCCTTCAACTGAACCCCAAACCCGAAAAGCCCAACACCCAAAACCCAACTCTAAGCACTAAGCCTTATAGGCTCTTATCCCTTGATATGGAACCTTGATAGATCCCTGAAAAGACACCTTTAAGAACCCTTAAACCCTAAACCCTGAACTGCGGCGGCGGAGCTTTCCCAAAACCCTAAACCCTAGACCCTAGACCCTAAAACCTAAACCCTAAACCCTAGACCCTAAAACCTAAACCCTAGGCCCTAAACCCTAAACCCAAAGTCCTAAACCCTAAACCCTAAACCCTAAAGGTCGGTTATGGGGCCATTGCGCCGAGTCCGGGAACCTCGCGACTGCTCATGTGAGCCTTGGATCAAAAGTCGGCATTCAGGCTTTAGGGTTTAGGGGTTCGGGGTTTAGGGTTTAGGGCTTAGGGTTTAGGGTTCAGGGTTTAGGGTTTAGGGTTTAGGGTTTTCGAGGTTTAGGGGTTTAGGGATTAGGGTTTAGGGGTTTAGGGTTTTAGAGGTTTAGGGTTGAGGGTTCAGGGTTTAGGGTTCAGGGTTGAGGGTTTAGTGCTTAGGGCTTAGGGCTTGTAGGGCTTATAGGGCTTATAGGGTTCAATTATAGTTTAGGATTCAAGGTTAGGGTGTAGGGAAACAAAATTTTGGGTTCAGTTCAAGGTTTAGGGTGTAGGCACACAAGAAATTCAGAGTATTACTAAGCTTACTGTCCCCATGCTTTTGTGGCACAATAGCTGGATGTTCGTTTGTCATGTGCGTGTTGCAAACCCAGGTAATTAAGTGGTGCTCGCATGCGCTGAGACTGAGTCTCTCTACGTATACTTATGATGATTGTATTAATTATTGAAACAATGGACCTAGCTCGTTGCTGTGGTTGCAGCTTGTGTGGGGCTGGGAGTTTCGCATTTTGCGAATTTCAACCCTAAACCCTAAAACCCTGAACCCTAAACCCTCAACCGTAAACCCAAAACCGTGCAAGATTTCGATCATCCAGGGCCATTTCGGGCTGGATGTTTTTTGGTTCGCAGTTTGATCTTACGGACGGTTTAGGGTTTAGGGTTTAGGGTTTAGGGTATGGATCCTAAACCCGAAACCCCTGAACCCCCCCAAAACCCCTAAACCCTAATAAACCCCCATACGGTGTAGGGTTTCGCGCTTTTCCGAAATACTAGCCTGCAAGTATCGCCCGAAACCCAGCCTGAACGTTTAGGTGCCCACAAATTGACGTCGCAAGTGCTCAACATTAGACCCGAAGCCCTATGCCCTAAGCCCTAAACCCTACTCGTTCCTTGGAGCACAGCAAGGCCCAATACTTTTCGTCGGAGTGGCCTCTTGTCTGGACGGGTTTGTGGGTTCAGAGTGCTGAGGGTTCTACGGTTTAGGGTGTAGGGTTTTGGGGTTTAAGGTTTAGAGTTTAGGGTCTTAGGGTTTAGGGTTAAAGGTTTAGGGTATTCAGGGGGGTTTCTATTGAGGCTTCCTTTAAGGGTACTAGCTTGAATTTGCAGTTTGGAGTTTGGGGTTTTAAGGCATTGGGTTTAGGCTTTGGGCATGGCTTCAGGCAGCTGTGGATGTGTTCAATTTCTTGTCTTGGCTGTGTTTAGGAGTGCATGCGGCTTTGTGATGTGGGCTGCAAACGTTCCGCTTCAGGTTTGTTGGTGATGTAAACGAGGCTCAGCCATTACATTCGCCTGCCACAGACAGTCGTCAATGTTGAAGGTTTGGGGTGGTGTGCGCGAGAGAGGGCTTGCATGTGCATGTACTGTTTTTTTGATTGTGGCGGTGGCGCGGTCGTAAGAAAATCCGCGCAGCCGAGCGCCGCCGAGCAGCCGAGCGCAGCCGAGCGCA